CTGCAGCAGCAAGGTGGCACTGGCTCCCTGCCGCAGCCCAGTGGGCCGTCACCTGCAGCAGCAAGGTGGCACTGGCTCCCTGCCGCAGCCCAGTGGGCCGTCACCTGCAGCAGCAAGGTGGCACTGGCTCCGTGCTGCAGCCCTGTGGCCGTCAGCCTCCATGACTCACTTCTCACTACTTGGCATTGCTGTGATTTCAGCTCTCGTTTTTCAGGGACCTGGTCTCTGTTTACTCCTAAAGTGAATTTTCTCTGGCAGCTCAGGCTGTATGACTTGTGGGAGCCCCATGACTGAGGGTCACTTGGGGCACTGCAGAGAACCAGTACCACAATGCTCCCTGCAATGTGCTGTCTGGGCTTAAAGCAAGCCCTGGTCATCCTGTAGCTCTGTGATGGCTCAGATCTTAAGGTTTTTCTCTTAGAAATCTGCTGTAACATTCACCCAAAACGATTTTACATAAAATTTCCGGAAACCTGTAATAAATACATCATAATCTAAAGTTCATGGTCATTTGTGTTTTAGAATTCTGAAAGTATTTTCCTATAGAGACAATTGAGGTCTCTTGGGTTTGTGTATTTAAACCATTTAGTTAAACACTATTTACAATGAACAACTTCAGACAATAATATTGTTAGAACATATATAAATAATAAAATCAAAATTGAACAGGAAAAATGTTTTATTAGCTTTAATATCAGTGATTGAAACAAAGCAGATTTACTAGCCAAGACGAAGGCTGCCTCTGGTAGGTTCTGCAGTCTCTGGTCTCTACCTGAGCGATTTCTCCCACGTCAGCCCTTCTCTGACACACAGTGGTGGCCATGGTACTTCACTGAGTCTGTGTGCTGCTTAGGGACATGCATAAGACATGGCAGCCTTCTCCAAAATATTTGGATACAGGATTTTAAGAGACATAATGAGCTGTCACTGGAATGTGTATTTTCTGGTTTTATTATTACTTACAACCCAAATGCTAAGAGTGCGTGTCTTAACCCTCACTGCCTTGATTAGAATGTGTCTTGAACAGGCACTGGCCATTCTTCTGACCACACGTCTGTATCGGCTCTCATGGCCGGCTGTCAGTCCCCATGGTACGGGGATAGCAGACCTGTCTGCAGAGGAAGGGTTTTATCCAATGTTTCAGAGACAGGAAGGGGACCCTTTGTGACTAGCCTGGCACTTAGTGAGCTGCAGGTGGTTCTGAGGAAGGTGAGCAGAAGAAGGCTCTGGCGCGTTGGAGCACCATCCAAGCACTCAGGCTGCACATCTGTAGGAACACTGTCGTCCTCAACAGCTGACCCTGCATTTACCTCCTGCTTATCTTAGCCCTCCCCTCACAGGTCAGAGGGGCCGAGGCAGGAGTGCCTGGGCAGGACAGGTTTTGTTTTTCTGTTACTAAGGCATTAGCATGGTCCTTCGCCCGTCGTGGGCTCCCAGAAAACAGCCTTTGGATCAGGGCACAGAGGGGTGGACTTGACTGTGAAGTGGTCTCTCCGGGTTGCTTTCCCCTGACACTCGAGTCCCTGCAGGAGGGAGCCCTGTCTTCATCACCTTGCGGGGCCTGGTGCATAGCCGTCCTGGTGCCCCCCCACCCCCTCCACCCCATGCTCTTGTGATACAGGTATCAAGGATGCCACATAGTTTGTGACCTTTGTGTCTTTGTGGGAGGTGTGTTGTCTTAGTGCAGCTCCTGGTCCTCTCCCTTGGTCACCAGGGAGCCTCTGCAGCCTTTGTCCCCGCCATGTGGAGTTAATGTTCACTGTGTGACTTGTAGAGGAAGGTGACTCCCCATTGTCACTCTGCTCCTCTCTCTCCATAGCAGCAGTGGGCAGCTCCAGACAGAAAGCCCCGTAATTAGAGTGACCTTTCATTTCCCAGCCCTCATGGCAGGTGCAGTGAGTGATTCTCTAGCTTTGCGATGCTGTCGGCATTGTGCTCACAGTTCATGACCACACACGTTGATTATAGTAGGGATACAGGAAGGGCAGTGATCTCGTTGCACCCAGAAGAAACTGTCCAAGTTGGTGGTGCTTTGAATCCTGTGCTGGCTTGTCTCGAGCAGGTGCCTTATTCACCGATGATGGGGCTTAATGACTTTACTTTTCCTACATTTTAGTAATGATACCTCATGCAGTATAATGCAGTAAACTTATTTACTTAAGCCAGTGGGCTGCTGAAGGTGGTCAGCACAGTTGGGGAAGTTTAATACCATACCAGGGGTCCTGTGTGGATTTCAGCCTGACAATGAACAGCTTGTAGCTCTGGGAGTGTGTGTGCTCTCTGTACTCAAACCCCTGACTCTGGGAGCGTGTATCTGCTCTGTGTACTCACACCCATGACTCCAAGACTCTGTCTCTCTGTGTACTCATAGCCGTGACTCCTGGAGTGTATGTGCTCTGTGTATTCCCACCCGTGAGTCTGGGAGTTGTGTGTTCTGTGTGCTCCCACCCATGACTTTGGGAGCTGTGTGCTCCCACCCATGACTCTGGGAGCTGTGGGAGCTGTGTGCTCTGTGTACTCCCACCCATGACTCTGGGAGCTGTGGGAGCTGTGTGTTCTGTGTACTCCCACCCATGACTCCGGGAGCTGTGTGCTCTGTGTTCTCACAGCCGTGACTCTGGGAGCTTGTTTCTGCTCTGTGTACTCACAGCTGTGACTCTGGGAGCATGTTTTTGTTCTGTGTACTCAAAGGTGTGTCTGTGGGAACATGTGTCTGCTTAGTGCCTTCACGACCCAAGGATAGGATGAGCTTTGGTTACAGGTACCTAAGTGTGGAAATGTCCTTTTCTGTGCCATGCAGGTTTTTCAAGGGAAATGGTAGTCCCATCTTGACATCTTCTGTGCCTTTTTGAAGGGGGTTCTGGCATTCCTGCTGTGATGGGCACTCTAGCAGGTCTCCTGGTCTGGCTGTCTTGGTGGCTCTGTGACCTGGGTGGGGCCACACGGGCTCCTCTGGTCCGGAGGTGATGGCAGAGGCAGTTTGGACTGAGCAGCCTGCTGGTTTTAGGCCTCTGATTAGACGGGCAGGTCTCTGCATGGTCAGCGTGAACATAGGAGGAAGAGGCCCGGCACCGGCAGTGGCGCTCCCTGCCTTGTGGGACCCAGTTGTGTTTTCAGCCCCCAGACTAAAGACTAAGGACTAAGGGTTTGGTGGAAACACGTCATTTTAGGGCTTGATGTCCACTGAATGCTAACTGCCAGCAGCTCAGTTTCCATTTTTATCACTCTCTGTGCCTGTGTCTTGGGCAACTCTGGCTGCTTTGTCCTCTCCTGTGGTGGGGCAGTTGTCAGAGGTTGTAAGTGGGGCAGCTGAGGGGACTCATGGACCCTGTCCCCTGCAGGCAGGGTGGCTGTGGCCTCATACCCTTGGGCTGGGGGCCAGTGTGATGAGGGAGAAGGGTGTCCAGAGACAGACCCTGTTACCATTGTCACCCGACAGGCACACGTGCACCGTTCCCCTGCTGTGGACACGTCTTCTGTGCTCAGCTCGGCACCCAGCTCAGAACAAGAAGCTGGTGTCCACAGCAGGGTCTCCAGTAGTGTGTGCTCATTTGCACATCAGCTTCAGCTTAAGATTTGCAGTGACTCTTGTCCTGTTTGCCTTGCAGTGAGAAGTGTGAGGTGCTGCAGTACAGCCCCAGGGAGGCTCAAGATCCATCCAAGGTAAGACAGATGCTCAGAGGTTTTTAGTGCAGATTCGTGTGAGTTCTTGTGTGTCACATAGTCAGTGGATGCCCACTAGTTTTATGATGTAGGTCAGCATGTTGTCTGAAAGTACTACTGACCCAGCCGTGTAGATTTCCCTTTACATAACCAAGTTTCAGGGGTCTGAAAATGATAGATGGGAGGACGCAGAGAACCCTGGCCCATCTCCCACAGTGTTTTATTAAACAGAAGGTAAAATGGAAAGTGGGATTAGTTAATGGGAAAGATTCAGTCACATAAAGACAACTGCTTCTCCTGAATTAGTTCATTTTGTGAAAGTCCTGTCAATTTCAGTATAGTTTCAGGGAACTTCCTGAGTAATAGCACAAAAAACAAACAAAGAAAGTTGAAAAAAAATCGAAACAAACTAATACAGGAACATCTGCCTTCTCAGATACAAAAACAAACTGTGAAGTCACGGTAATGAAAGCGGCGTGGTGTTAGTACAGTTATAAGTAAGCAGCTTAGTGGAGCAGAACGGAATCCAGAAACAGGTTGGGTTTGTGGCTTTAGTTTGGTGAAGTCACCTCCTTAAAGGATAGTTTAAAAATAGAAGTAGAAGAAAATGGATTATTTCTTGAATGGCACTGAGGCAGCTGAACATCATCCGTTTTTTAAAAAGCAGTTTTAAAATTTTATTTCATAAATTAAGCATAAATTACTAAAAGAAAACTATAAGGTGTAAAGTTCTAGGAGCAAACACGTTTTGGGAACTGGGATTGAGGTGCAGGCGGTGCCCTTGTCACGCGGTTGGCAGCAGACGGCCCACAGCGGCTCAGCAGGGGCAGGGAGGGCACAGTTCACTATGGCAGCTTTTCAACAGGTGAGCAGCACCCTCCTCTCAGGGGGAAGCCCTGCGTCTGGTCCTGGCTGTCCTGCATAGAATCCTTTTGAGACTTGGACTCAGCAATCATTTAGTTTCATTCTTTTCTGAGCCTTCTGTTTCTGTGATGCTCCTTTGTTGGCAGATTATTTTTACACCTTTGGCAGAATGTTTAGAGGGCACATATCTTAGAAGAATAATGTATTTTGTCTTTAGCACTGTGTTGTTTGAGTTAACATTAAGAAGGTTCCCTGAGGTCTGTGGAGAGAAAGGGCAGGAAAGAACACTGTCTGGAAGGCGGGCTGTGTGGACAGTGGTGCTGGGAGACTCAGGGTGTGTGTGTTCCTGCCATTTGTCACTTTGAGGGCTGGGTCTGCCTTCTGTGCTGAATTGACTTGGAAAGAGTGAGTGTTCTACAAGAAACACTGATCCTCCTCTAGTCTTGGTGCTTTTCCTTGTCGGTCCTTTTTCTCCTGGCCTGCAAGGTAATTTCTGGCTGGTCCCAGGGTGGTAGGAGGCAGGGCCGTGCCAGAGAGGCAGCACCAGCCCTGTTTCATTACAGTCATCCAGCTCCACGTTCCTTTTTTGGTTGATTCTTCTTGCCAAATATTTGTAGCTTATAAATATACTAAAATGTTATGTCATTTAAATTTCTAAAATGAGGTTCTCTATTTAAATTGGATTTTGTATCCATCTTAGGTGGTGGAGGATATCGAGTATCTCAAGTACGACAAAGGGCCGTGGCTGGACCAGGACGATCGCACTTTTTACCACCTGCGGATGCTGTGAGTTCGTGTGTTGGGCATCCTGACGCAGCAGTGCAGTGCTGTTTTTGGTGTTTGTTTGTTGTGCTGTGCTCTGTTCTGTTTTGTTTTATTACAACACGTTGGCTATACTTGGATGAGATAGAAACCTAGAGGACTCTGAAATAATCATGTTTCAAGTTAGGCGCTGACCCCCGCAGCCATCCTGAGGTGCATTTCCTTTTCTCTTCCAAACAGCTCTTGAATACTAGGGTGTGATGACTCACTGATCGGATTGTTAATTCACAGCTATTTGGCTTCCACTTTGTGCCAAGCACCTTACCAGTCACTGGTTAGAGTGTCAAATGCAATTCCTGCTCTGCTGGAAACGTGCTTCAGTAGGGGTGGCAGTAAAGAAACAAATACAACTGTGTTGGGTCCTGAAGGCCACTGAGCACATAGCCCTGAGTGGTCAGTGGCTGGGACGTGACCAAGAGCCTCTCTCAGAAAGAGGCCTGGGAAGACCAGGGCCAGTCCTGCGGGTGGGAGGGGGAGCAGTGGCAGGTGGCTGTCAGGGGGACAGACTAGGGGCAGAACGTGGCATCGCAAGGGGAGGCCATGGCGGGAGGGGAGGTCATGGGCCTTTGGCAGCTCTGGGAAGGACTAGAGGATTTTTTCTAAATGAGAGGAAATGCTGTTTGGGGGTTTGAGGGTTTGAGGAGAGGAGTAATGTGATGTAACTTACATCCATTCTGGCTGCTGTGTGGATTCCTTGGTATCTTCTGAATAGATAATCTAAAATACACAAATTTGGTAAGTTAAAAAAAAGTTACCTCCATCTACACTGCTCTCAAAACTGCTTGTGCCAAGATGACTGGGTCGGCATCCCCTCTGCTTCTGTGTCCCCTCCTCTCTCAGGCTCTCATTCCCTGGCCTCTAACCTACGGCCCAGTGCTGACTCCACATGCAAAGCATGTGGATGGACAGCACATGTGAGCTGCTTACCACAAGGTGACTGAGCAGAAACCAGGAGGAGCCCTTGGGGAATTGTGGGCTTAGAGGGTTCTCTGCTTGTTAAAGTTGTTCGGGCTACTGAGACTGACACTATGAAGTCAGTCCATGCTCCCTGGGAGCCGTGGCTGGTGGGGGAGGGCGCTGAACGCTGGCCTGTTCCCCATAATTTTAACTTCAGGACAGGAGTGGGTAAGGAGATTGAAGATAGAGAGACCAGGTCTCAGGAGAGGAAGATAAAAGGAGTATGTTTCTAAAAGAAAGGTGATTTTAGTAGCCAAGACTCAACCTTTCCATGGCTTGGTCAGAGGGCTTCCTGAGGTGATGAGCCGTCCACCTGCTGCTGTGATGCTGGGTGAGGCCCACCCCTCTGTGTCCGTCTCCTCATAGTACAGCAGGGAGAAAGCAGAACCGGCCTTGTGGAACTGTGAGCAATTTGAAGGGCTTAGGAGAGTATGTATCGTAAGTACTAAAAAGTTGCAGCTACTCTATCCTGATAATTTGATATGTTTATGTTTTCTCTGTTAATATTTTTGTTCTTATGCACTTTGCTACCTTATTTTGTTTTCGGTTTTTGCTTTTGAATTTTTTTTTCTGATCTCAAAAATAATTCACATTCATTATCCTCAATTCAAATATCCTCAGATTACAGAAATTTTCAGGGTGGTTGAATCCCCTGTCCAAAGACAACCATACTTAGGTTCCCTGGTCCCTATGCTGTTTGCCAATGCTGTTTGCTGGTGGTTGTAACCAGTATTCCCAGTGCGCCGTGCCCTTGGTGGGAGGGCTGACTTGCATAAGTGCCCAGCATCCTGCAGGGTTCCACACCACCTTGTAGACACCGTCAAGCTTCACCGATGCGGGGATGTGCTAAGAAGTGCGTCGTTAGATAGCGTGGTCACTGTGCAAACATCAGAGGGCACTTAGCATGGCCAGCTGGGTTGCACAGCTCACTACGCACCTGTACCAGGTGGTGCACCCTATGGTTCCGAGGCTCCAGGCCTGCTCAGAGTTATGTGCTGAGTACTGAAGATCAGGTATTTGTGTAACACAGAAAAGGTACAGCGAACATACAATATAAAAGATTACAAACAGGGCACCTTTATAGGGCACGTACCATGGATGGAGCTCACAGGACTCGAGTTGTTGGGGTGAGTCAGCAAGTGAGCAGGGGGTGAGCGGAGAGTGCATGGAGAGGCCAGGGGCATGCTGGGCCCTGTTGCAGACAAAGCAGTATTATTTTTTCTTCAATAATAAATAAACTTTAGTTTATTATAACTTATAAACCTTTTTTTAAACTTTTTAACTTTTATGCACTTAGCTTAAAATATGCACTTTATAGCTATACAAAAATATGTCCTATAAGCTTTTTTCTATTTTTAAAATTATTGTTATTCTTTTAACATTTTTGTTAAAAATGAAGACAGGCGCACACATCAGCACAGGCCTACTCAGGGCCGGGATCACCATTATCGCTGTCTTCCACCGCACAGCTCATCTCCCTGGAAGGTGTTCAGAGGCCAGTAACACATGGAGCTGTCGTCACCTGTGAGGACAGTGCCTTTTTCCAGACACCTCCTGGAGGACCTGCCAAGGCTACTTTACAGTAGTTTGTAAATATGGAGTCTGTAAAGTAACAATAAAGAGTATAGTATAGAAAAAATATAGCCTGTAACATAGTAACTTGTTATCATTATCAAGAATTGTGTCCTGATGCAGTGTGGGGGGCTTGTTTTCACCAGCACTGCCACAGATGTGAGTGATGCTTTGAGCTGTCGCATTGAAGCAGCTCTGATAACAGGCGCTTTTAGCTCCGTTATGGAACTCCTGTCTGCGTGCCGTCTGATGTGCTGTACGTGACTATGTCAAACCAGGAGCAGTCTGCCCACTGTGCGTACAGAATCTGCTGTCTAGGAAAGCCAGGCGAAGGTTTGCTGTCTACCTTTACCCTGTCAGTGTAACTTTGTAAATTTGCCATTAACTATTTCTCTTTTCCCGAAATTCAGCTCGTAGCTTCATCTATCTGGGTTTTGATAGGAAGCCAGTGGCACATTTGGCCAGAGCATGGCAGAGAGTTTAGTGAAGGGAAATTTACCAAGGGAAGACAATAGGACAGTGAAGCATCCAGACCGTCCACAGCGGGTGCTGGTGACCAGGGATGGGGCCTGCTCACTGGAATCCAGGAGGCCACTGCAGCTATAGGAGTGAGGCATCCAGGCCGTCCACAGCGGGTGCTGGTGACCAGGGATGGGGCCTGCTCACTGGAATCCAGGAGGCCACTGCAGCTGTAGGAG